GGAAGATTTACTTGGCAAGCAGTACACAGGGGAAGCTGGGGCAAGCAGAGATGTGGCAGGAAACCACAGGAGTCCAGATGGGACTTGAAAGCTTTGCTGAGTGGTGCTCGTGGGAATTAAGAATGGATGTTTCTGTTGTGGAGAAGGAAAAAGCCACCAGATCTAATGACTATTGGGGTTGCAACTTTATAAAATGGTCTTTATAAATTCATGATTTGAAAAAGTTATGTAGATGAGAGGTAATAGAACATTGTAGTGGACATCATGAAGGTAAGGCTAGTTCTCCTTGATAGGATTTCAGAGTTCATGCTTGAAAGCATTTAGAATAGTATCAGACACATACTAGGAACTCAATAAATGTTGAGTCATTGAGCAACTAGTAACACATAGGGCGCCCAGCAGAGCCATGGAAAGCTCTTGCTGTGGTTGAAGAGCAGCATCTGCTGGTCATCCACGGTAGCGCAGGATCCCATATTTACAAGGATCTGGCCCAGTCCACATTCCAAAAACTATGTACAGGGATGATCAGTGGGTCCTCCCCAAAAGCCTACAATAAACAAGCAGGATGAAACAGGAGTCATCACTTTTAACAAGAACGTTCTTTATTTGTACAAAGCATAATTTTCCTCAACATTCTTCACTCATTTGTCAACAAACTTTTGACTGTATTCATTTAACAAATTAACAGTGTCAAACTACATTCATTTGACTACCTGTCAACCTCCAAGCGCTCAACTTAGAGACAAACAAAAAAGTGCTTGGAGCACCAAATATCAAGAGAAAAAAAAAAAAAACTAAGAAGAAAGGTCAACACAGTTACTTTAGAAGCAGTTAAAGGGGATGGTTTTTTGCAGGGGGGATTAGATTCCTGAGCACCATCAGATTTCTGCACTTTGGGACATTAAGCAGGTTATCAAAGTTCCTGGTTTGGCAGATGTGAGAAAAGGAGGGAGAGAAAGTGGGAATCGGGAACAGAGGAGAGGCAGAAGAGAGACAGGAAAGGAGAAGCACAGAGGGAGAAAGTTGTGCCTAAAAGAAATAAAGTTTGGAACTTGTCATGAATTGAAAGAATGAAAAACGAAAGTCAAGTCTGGGAAACGGACTACAAGAAGAGAAACCCTGGAATTTTATACCTTCCAGGAGGTGACCATAAATCCTAAAGCCATACAGTGGTAGGCAGTGAGGTGCATCTAAGACTAAACCATCTTTTTTTTTTTTTTTGGTAAGAGTAAGATATTGGCACACTTGCTTGACTAATTCCATTCTACAATGCTGATTTAAAAGCGTATGTGCCCAGAGCGCAGCCACGTCAGCAGGTCAAATGCCTACCAGGCAAGACAGAGGAGCTCCAAGCCAAGTGGGTCTGGAGAAATCAAAATTCAATTAATGTTACTGTCAAGTGAAGAGACAACAGATTTCATTCTTCTCCTGTAACCTTTTCTAGTTTCCTAACGCTAAACACATTCTGACCACTTTAATAAGCTAGTATTGCCAAATCCTGTACAATCAAAACAGGCTGACCATGCTCAAAGCCCCAATTTTTCTTGAGCTTTGACTACCCCTGTGATCTGGAACACAGCAGGCAGCATGGAAGTCATTATTACTTTTTTGGGGGGATGGGTGGGAACGGAACTGGGGATCAAAGACCGCCTACCGTTTATATATAAGTAAACAAAAGAGATCAAATTGACTAATCAAATTAGTCACTCAGAATCCCTCTTGCCAAAAGTCATTACCTTCAGACTGATCTGGCAAAATGGGATTCTGTTGCGCCGATGCTCTGACGGAAGCGCTGGTTTTGACAATTTTAGTCAGTTTTATTTTGATCTTCTCAGGCTCTTCTGGCTAAGACTACTCGCCCCAGCAGGGAAAAGCTTCTCACAAACGTACCACATTTCAGGGTGGTACCTTCCAAGGTGCCACAGTCTTCCCATCCCGTTAGTTGTCCACTTCCTCCTCTTCGTTCTGTTCTTCTTCTTCCAGCCTTTCCTCCTCTTCATCGTTGTCTTCATCCCTGCTCTTGTCTGGCTCTTCTGCATCTGTTTTTTTGTCTTTGTCCTTCTTCTTTTGCTCTGAAGCTTCCTTCTTGCCTTTCTGCTCTCTCCTGTATGCTGTAAGGAGGAAGGTGGGGATGAGGAGGGAGGGCCGAACCAAACAGACCGCAGCAGCTAACTCTACTGTACAACTAGAAAGGCTGGGGCAGAGAAGGAAAAATAACCTGCTCCGCATTACAAATTGGATCTGAGATGGTGCCAACTGGACTGATTCCGAGTCACATCCAATACTTACTTCCTGTTCTTACAGGGATCCAAGCTTAGAAGACGCAGGGCCAGGTGAACATCTTCTACTTGGCTGAACAAAGAAAAGGGTCATTACCTTCCAGAGCTTCTTTCAACGGGGTAACGAACCGCTGGAACTCCATCTCTTCCATGGCTGAGAGCACGTCACTGGCGTTCAGTGTCTTGCGTTTCCCTTTCATTGCAAAGTTGTTGGCACTGAAAAAAAAAAGATTAAAGGCCGTCAGGGGGCTGTCAGACCCCCTCCTGCCGCGTAAGGGATGGAAAAGGGCCACCAGAGGTGGTATGGAAAAGCCTAGGTCTTAGATGCATGGATTTTTGTGACATGTTAAGTCCTTCCCTTCCCTGTACAAAGGGTAATTTTCCTGTTTTATTTTGCTTCAGCCCTTGCAAGAACGGGATAAGGGTGAATCTTCCCCGCACTGAGATAAGGCACAATTCTTGGGGTTTGTGGACTCCAGGCCAGGGGGTCTCTTTGCGGCTCCCTTACGCCCCAGCCCCCAGCTAAGCTCTTGCTGGCCCAGCCCGCCTCACCAGGAAGTGGCGTACAGCACGAAGACGCTAGCAGCGCGGGAGATGGCGCTGCGGGCCTCCTTGGAGATGTTGACACCGTCCGGGAGCTGTAAGAAGAGCGTGGGTGAATAAAGCTGCCGGCCCAAGACCTGCTTCCCCCCGCTGCCCGCCCTTCCGCCCCTGGCCCATCTGCCAGCCAGAGCTGCTCACCGCTTCCTTGATGATCCTAGTGATGACGGCATTGGGCAGGTTTAAGTCCTCGGGCCTCTCCGCCATTGCCGCCGGCGCCGCGCCCCGCGCCGCAGTCTCAAGCCTCTTCTTCAGGCCGCCACGGCGTCCGGACTTCCCGCGTCGCCACAGTCTGACCCAAAGAGGCTTCCGTCCCGCCCCACGTTGCCCACACTGTGTCCCACAGTGCCCCGCGCGCCATAGCCTCCCTCTTCACCCAGCCACGCCTCCGCCTCGAGTCGCCCAAGCATCCGAACTTTCCACATCGCTACGGTTTTGGCCCTTCCGGGCTTCCGTCCGACCCCACCGGGATCTAGCGTCCCTTCCCAGGTTCGTTTCCCTGCTTCTTGCCGCCACCATGTCTGGAGACTTCTCAGCAGCTCAAGTATGGCTCACTGGAGCTTCCGTCCCTTCCCCACAGTGCTCTGCGCCGCTGCCTGGCAACGGCGCTGCCTGGCGGCTAGCGCGGGAGACGGAGGCGTGGACCGAGCGGACGGGGCGGGGCTCCTTCCGACTTGGGGCGGTGCCCCGCCTCCTCTCCCAGGCGGCCCAAGGGGTCTCGTTTTCCGAGTGGCTTTCGGCTTTTTGGCAGTTTGGCGTGCCTTTTGCTAGCGCGGGCCTCCGAGGCCGAACTCTTCCACGTCCCTCTTCTGGAACGAAGCGGGTATCTTTTTTCAATTCTGCGGGACCTGATGTCCATCTTTAATCTTTTCACCCCTCCCAACTTTGTAATAATCGCATTAAGGCTAATTGTCCCCTAGAATTGTTGAACGCAGACTCCTTTGCCAGTACAGCGCTAACGCTGGCAACGTGGAAATGGTCATAAGTAGACCTCGTTCCTCAATTCGGGCTGGTCAGGTAACGAAAGGGCAGCAAGCAACCGGTTGTAAGGATAACGCGATTGCATTCCATTAAAAAACAAACCCTGTTAAAATTGTATTTGTTCATTGACTTACGCATCATACATCTTGCGCAGTCAAAAGCATTAGCATGGTTTTGCAGTGACTCTTAAGTTGTATAATTTTCATGTTATGTAGGTAGAAATTGTCTTCGATCCCACTGAGCGAGCACGAATGCTTTTTTTTCTTGAAACATGCTGTCTCACGTCACCCTTAATTTTCCTGCTTTTCTAAAAAAAAAATTATTTATTTTGAGTAGTTTCTACAGGCATCATAGGGCTGGTGCTCATGACCAGAGTTCAAGAGTCACATGTTCTACCTACTGAGCCAACCAGGCATCCCAATTTTCCAGCTTTTGACAGAGACCTGAGTACAGAGAAATTCTTCTCTATTAGGAGAAAAACAACAGCAAACACGGTGATAAACGGCAACTGAAACTGCATTAGTTAGAGATTATAGGGTTTGTTGAGAGAACTCTCCATTTGGAGAGAACAGTTCTGGTTTAAAGATACCAGGAGACACTCCCCTCCATCCAATTGCTCTCTAGTTGGAACTGGGACCCCTGTGTTGTCAGATATTTTGATCTTTAAGAGGAGTCATAAATCTGAATACTGTGGACTATTTCCACTTTAAAAAATGGCTCAAAGTGTAGGCCAAACAAAACAAGTCATAGGGCAGTTGCGATGCCATACCAGTAATTCATTATCTTTGGTCTAATTTATAAGTTCTTTAGAACAGGGACTTATTTTGTTCATTACTGTTCTCTATGCCTTCAACAGGTCCCGTCACATATTTGGTAGTCAATAAATGTGTTGAATAAAAAGAAGAAGAAATGGATACTGTCCTTAAAAAGGGGACCTAATGTCCACCTTTAATCTTTTCACCCCTCCCAAATTTGTGATAATCGCATTAAGGACCAGGTGGTAGTGACTGCCTAAAATATTTCTAGAGAGAGAAAGATAATACTATTTATTGAGCCCCTATTATGTATCCTACATAAAAGTACGTTATTTCTCTTAATGCTTCCACAATCCTACTTAGGGATTTTCTGTCCCCTCTTTATATGAGGAAACAAGCCGAGAGAGGTGAAATCACTTGCCTATGACCATACAGCCAGTAAATGAAAAGCCAGAGGCCTCTGATGTAACTGTAAGTCTACTGATCTACAGTTTGAGCAAACCCATTCATTTCTGGTGGGTATTTAAGCTGCCTGTATGAGAATTGGAGCATATTGCAAAATGAAGCATGTTTTCCAAAGGTGTGAACCATCTAAAGCCATCTCAAGTACTTCTGTGATTATATTAGTTCTGATTTGATAAGGCTTTTTAGAGATGATGGTGTCTTCTCCCTAATGATTAATGAAGGGGAAAAGGAAAGGATGCTCATACTTATTTTGAACTATATGCCAGAACTTTTAAAAAAAATATTTATTTGAGAGAGAGAGAGCATGACAGAGTGAGCACAAGCAGGGGGGAAGGGTAGAGGCAGAGGGAGAAGCAGACTCCCCGCTGAGCAGGAAGCCCGACGACGTGGGACTCAATCCCAGGACCCTGAAATCATGACCTGAGCCAAAGACAGATGCTTAGCCGACTGAGCCACCTAGGCGCCCTTTTAATGTCCAGACCTTTTAATATCGATTAACTAATCTTTGTAATGATCCTGTAAAACAGGCTTATCCTCATTTTGCAGATGAGGAACGTGTAGCTCAGATTGCTTAAGACCCAGGTCACTCAGCTATTAAATGGCCAAGTAGGAGACTTTATGAAGTTAGTCTGCTCCCAAAACTCTTGCCACTCTTCTTCATGCTGAGACGTTTTCATACTTGGTTGTTAGACAGTTTTTTTAAAAATTTTAATTATAATATGGTCAACATATAGTGTTATAGTAGTGTCAGGTGTACAATCTAGTGATTCAACAATTTTACACATTTCTCAGTGATCATAACAATAAGAACACTCTTCATCCCCATCACCTATTTCACCCTCCCCCCACCCTTCCCTCTAGTAACCATCAGTTTGTTCTCTATAGTTGAGAGTCTGTTTTCTGGCTTGTATCTTTTTTCTTTGTTTGTTTTGTTTCTTAAATTCCACATGAGTGAGATCATATGGTATTTGTCTTTTCTCTGATTGACTTATTTCACTGAGCTATACCCCCTAGCACCATCCATGTTGTCGCAAATGGCAAGATTTCATTCTTTTTAATGGCTGAGTAGCTTGTTACCCAATTCTTAAATATCCTGTGACCATCATTTATGTATGTGGGTTCAATAGAAATATTTTATGCTTTGAGTCCAAATTAAGATCTGGACTGCATGGCTGATGTATAATACACTCTAATTGTGTGGTTTTTGTTACTTTAGAGGGCTAGAAAGCTGCAAGATTGGCTTTTGTCCTAAACCATTTGTAGCTATGGACTTACCAGATGAGAGCCAATGGGATGAAACCACCTGCAAGTTGGCCATTTGTCAGCATCCACAATGCTGGGCCACGATCCGCCGTATTGAGAGGGGCCACCCTCGAATCCTGGGCTCCCCCTGTAAAACAACTCCAAATGACGAAGGTGAATTAGTCGGCCCTGCTTCTTTCTTACAAGATCCTTGAACTATTTCTGTTTGGCTCCTTTTGACAGATTACATGTTTTCCTCTGGTCTGTTTTCTCAGACAAACTCCCCGTGCTCACCATTGTAAACATGGCAGATTCCTGCATCTGGGCCAAGAGACATGCTCATCATCATTTATCAGGACTTACCTTCACCAAACCTCCCTCTTTACTGTGTCCAGGTTCAAAGCTTGACTCCAAATTCCGAGGCAGGTAAATTATCATGGAATCTTCCGTTATGAGCCTCCTATCTCAAAATTCTGGGTTGATTTCCTTTACCCACGTAGTAGACTTTGAGAAAGCTGGATTAAAACTAAAACACCAGTTCAGTTAGAGAAATGGTGACGAGGCAGTGGGAAACAAAAGGAAGGCATTATCTGTGTGGTAGGAGTTGCTAAAATAGAGGTGTATTAGTTTGCTAGGGTCACTGTAACAAAGTACCCTGGACTGTGTGGCTTAAACAACACAGATTTACTTTTTCACAGTCTAGGGGTTAGAAGTTCAAGATTAAGGTGTTGATAGAGTTGTTTTCTTCTGAACCCTTTCTTCTTGGCTTGTAGGTGGCCATTTTCTCCCTGTGTCTTAACATGGTCTTCCTTCTGTGTGTCTTTGTCCTAATTTCCTCTTTCTTTTTTTTTTTTTTAAAGATTTTATTTATTTATTTGAGAGAGAGAGAAGCATGTGTGGGAGGAGGGGCAGAGGGAGAAGCAGACTCCCCGCTGAGCAGGGAGCCCAGTGGATGTGGGGCTTGATCCCAGGACTCCGAGATCATGACCTGAGCCCAGTGCAGATGCTCAACTGACTGAGCCACCCAGGCATCCCATCCTCTTCTTTCTTTTTGAAGATTTTATTTATTTGTCAGAGAGAAAGAGAGAGAGAGAGAGAGAGAGAGCACAAGCAGGGGGAGCGGCAGCCAGAGGGAGAAGCAGGCTCCCCGCTGAGCAGGGAGCCCGACGTGGGACTCGATCCCAGGACCCTGGGATCATGACCTGAGCTGAAGGCAGCCGCTTAACTGACTGAGCCACCCAGGCGCCCCATCCTTGTCTTTTTTTTAAGTTTTTAATTTTAATTCCAGTATAGTTAACACAGAGTGTTATATCGGTTTCAGGTATATGATAGAGTGATTCAGCCATTCTCTATGTTAGTCACTGCTCATCATGATAAGTGTTTCTTAATCTCTCTCTTTTTTTTTAAGATTTTATTTATTATTTATTTGAGACAGAGAGAGACACAGCGAGAGAGGGAACACAAGCAGGGGGCGTGGGAGAGGGAGAAGCAGGCTTCCTGCTGAGCGGGAGCCCGACACGGGGCTCGATTCCAGGACCCAGGGATCATGACCTGAGCCGAAGGCAGACGCTTAATGACTGAGCCACCCAGGCGCCCCCATGTGTTTCTTAATCTCTTAATTTCCTCCTTTTAATAAGAACACCAGTCATATTGGATTAGGGCCTGTCTGTATGACTTCATTTTACCTTAATTACCTCCTTAAAGACCCTATCTCCAAATACTGAGAGACTCAAACTCTGAGGTATTGAGGGTTAGGATTCAGTGTAAGAGTTTGGGGGGCACAATTCATCCCACCATGGGGGATATCTCATCAGCCTCTGCAGGTCATCACTATCTTTTTTATCCTTTATCTTTAGGTATGAAACTGTTTGTAAGCTTTTGAAGGCAGAAGCAATGGTTTCCTTTTGAATCTCCTACAAAGCCCAGGCATACAGTTAGTGCTTGTTGATACGGGAAGCTAAGGGCCTGGGATCTACAGAAAACTTAGACTTGTAACATTTGGAACTCCTATGGTTTGGAACCAAGGCATGCCTAGTGGCCCCTGTACCGGTTCCTTTTCTCCCCTTTGATGTAAGCAGCCTTTGGTGGTTTCCTTTGGCTAAAGACAGTATGGGAAAGGGTCGGACTGCTTTCTGGTTCTCTAGGACTTGAACCTTGGGAAGAAGGTGGCTTCTCCCAGTCAGGGCCTATGAAGGCAAAGACCATGACCTCATTCGTGTAGTCACTCACTGAATTTACAAATGTATTTTAGTGGGGACCACTTTGCTGGGCTCTGGGGATTCAGTGGTAAACAAGATATAGTCTTTACCCTCAAAGGGCTTTCAGCCTCGCTGGGAAGGACAAGAACTGTCCGGTGTGATGAGCGTGATGAGAGGGCCCCCTCTCCCCCCGGGTGTGTGGAAGCACATGGGAAGGGTTCCTCGCCCAGGGCACTGTCCTCTGTGGAGGCGGCCCCTGCGCCTGGATACTGAAGTGTGAGCAGTCTGGCGAAGTGGGGGTTGCGGGTAGGAGGTGGCCATGAGGAGAGTTCTGGACTACGGAAAGAGCATATGCCAAGGCCTGGAGGCAAGAGGAAGTTCTTTAGATGTCAGGAGAAGGGCTCATCTTGCGTGGAACACAGAGCAGGAATGGGGGAGTGGTCAGAGCTGAGGCTCGGGAGCTGGAGTAAAAAGCGGTGGGCTACAGCACATGAATCAGCCTAAGGAGTTGGGTCTTTATCTTATAATTCTTCGCCATATGTATTCATTCCTACACTTAACGTGGCTTTTAAAAAAATATAGTAACAAGTGATATGAAAATGTAAGGGGACAGTATTCCTTTTTTTTTTTTTTATTGTGGTAAAGATGCATAGTGTGAAATTTACCATTTTAATCGTTTTTAAGTGTATAATTCTGTGGCATTAAATACATTCATAGTGTTGTATCACCACCATCCATTTCTAGAACTTTTTCATCATCTCAAACAGGAACTCCTTACCCATTGAACAGTAACTCCCCATTCCCTCCTCCCTCCAGCTCCTGTTAATGTCTATTTTACTTTCTGTCTGTATGAATTTGCCTATTCTAGGTACCTCGTATAAGTGGAATCCTACAATATTTGTCCTTTTGTGTTTAGCTAGCTTCTTTTTTTTTTTTTTTAAACATTTACTTATGTATTTGTTTGACAGAGAGAGACACAGTGAGAGAGGGAACACAAGCAGGGGGAAGTGGGGTAGGGAGAAGCAGGCTTCCCCCCGAAGCAGGGAGCCCGATGTAGGGCTCGATCCCAGGACCCCAGGATCATGAGCTGAGCCAAAAGCAGACGTTTAACGACTGAGCCACCCAGGCGCCCGTTAGCTAGCTTATTTCACTTAGCATAATGGCTTCAAGTTTCATCAATATTGGAGCATATATCAGAATTGCATCCCTTATTAAGGCTGAAAAATATTCCATTGTGTGTAAATACTATGTTTGGCTTATTTAACATGCTTTGAACATCTACATCAAGGGTTACTCAGTCAACTTTTATTGATAGTGACATAACTGTCTGTAGTTGGAGAGAGGGGGCATAGGCTCTGAATTCAGTTTGATGCAACAAATAGTTGTGGAGTGTTTGCAGTGTGCAGTGTCTGTTTGGGAGCTGTTCCATAACAAAGAAACACAACTTAAGGACATGGGGACACCCTACAGTCATTCGGTAAGTATTAAGCCCCAGGTTTTCCGTAGATAAGCAGAAGGCTCAGAGCACTAACTGCCACCCCCGTAGCTCCTTTGTATCTCTATGTCATGTTTGGAAATTCATTTTTTAGGCCTCGGGAAGATTTACCTGACAAAGATTTAATCGACCATCCTGATAGATCTCCTAAAGTAAATCACAGATTAAAAAAGGTACTTCTTCAGCATTTTCTCTTTACTAGTGGGAATAAAATATTTGCCTCTGTATAACATTCAGGATGACTATAATCTGAATAATGACAATGATAACTATCTAATATTGGGCCCTTAAGTATATGCTAGGCTCTGTGCTAATGCCTTTATATGCTATACTGTTTCCAGAAATCCCAGACACCAGTGGGATTGATTTGTGGCTGTTTGGCATAGGTAAGACTTTTCTGTCTGTATCCTGCAAAGAGCACGTTCAGCTACTAAGTAAACCCTGTCATCTCATAATATGGGGAAATTAGAATGCTGGAAATGTCACACCTAAAATGTGCCTTCAGGTCATCGATGACTATCCAACTTTTTAGCTATGACTTACAGTAAAAAATACATTTTGCAACAAAATAGCATAAAACAATCCTTACCCTAATTATGAGTAATGCACTCTGATATTTTCTGTCCTATTCTATTTTACTTTTTTTTTTTTTTAAGACTGAGAGAACAGGGGGCGCCTGGGTGGCTCAGTTGGTTGGGCGACTGCCTTCGGCTCAGGTCATGATCCTGGAGTCCCGGGATCGAGTCCCGCATCGGGCTCCCTGCTCAGCAGGGAGTCTGCTTCTCCCTCTGACCCTCTTCCCTCTCGTGCTTTCTATCTCTCATTCTCTCTCTCTCTCAAATAAATAAATAAAATCTTAAAAAAAAAAAAAAAGACTGAGAGAACACGTATGAGAAGGGGAGGGACAGAGGGAGAAGGGGAAAGGATCCCAAGCGGGCTCCACACTCAGCACTCAGCGAGGAGCCCAAATCGGGGCTCGATCTCACGACCCTGAGATCATGACCTGAGCCGAAATCAAGAGTCAGACGCTTAACCGCCTGAGCCACCCAGGCGCCCCTCTATTCTACTTCTAAGCAATGTAGGCTACACTTCACAAAATTTGATTCCATGACCTATGAATTAGTTGCAGTTGCAACTGAAGAACATTACTGTGGTCTGTCTCATATGTCTTACAGTTGAGACAACTGAAGCCCAGATAAAGAAGTGATTTGCTGAAGCACATAGCTAGTCAGAGGCCGAGCTAAATTAGAGTTTAGGAGGAAAAGCCCTTCTACTTATCTACAATAAAGAGAGATTTACTCTTCTTTGAAATCTGATGGATGCCTTTTATTTTTTTCAAGAGATATTCTACCTTTCACTGTCACATGGTGGAGAGTATAAGGGACAGAGAGAGGGTAGATGTGTTTGAATGGATGAACAAATCACTCTCCTCTTTGACCTCTTTAGAACAAGGGGTTAGAGGGCGCCTGGGTGGCTCGGATGGTTGAGCGTCTGCCTTCGGCTCAGGTCATGATCCCAGGGTCCTGGGATCGAGTCCCGCATCGGGCTCCCTGCTCCTTGGGAGCCTGCTTCTCCCTCTGCCTCTCTCTCTCTCTCTCTCTCTGTCTTTCATGAATAAATAAATAAAATCTTTAAAAAAAAAAAAGAACAAGGGGTTAGATTAAATTCGTTTTAAGGTAATTATTTGAATAGCTAGAACTTGCACATGGTTCAAAATTCAAAAAGCATAAAAGGGTTTACAGTGCAAAGAAGTCTCCCCTAATCCCTCAAGCCCTTCAGTTCCTTTTCATAGGACAACCCTATTTTTATTTTTATTTATTTATTTATTAAAGATTTTATTTATTTATTTGACAGAGAGAGACACAGCGAGAGAGGGAACGCAAGCAGGGGGAGTGGGAGAGGGAGAAGCAGGCTTCCCGCAGAGCAGGGAGCCCGATGCGGGGCTCGATCCCAGGACCCTGGGACCATGATCTGAGCCAAAGACAGCCGCTTAACGAGTGAGCCACCCAGGCTCCCCCAACCCTATTTTTAAAAAAATTTATTTATCTCTTCGGGTGGGGGAAGTGAGCACGCGAGCAGTGGGGAAGGGCAGAGGGAGAGAGAGAGAATCTCAAGCAGATTTCCCACTGAGCTCAGGAGCTTGGAGCCCAAAGCAGGCCTCAATCCCAGGACCCTGGGATCATGGCCTGAGCCCAAATCAAGATTCGGCCACTTAACTGACTGAGCCACCCAGGTGCCCCACAACCCCATTTTTATTAGTTTTTTTTTTTTCCTCGTTCCCTGTATCCTACCAGGGGTAGGGACTAGATCATTTATAAGGTTTCCTTGAGCACCACTGTTCTAATATCTTAAATGACTGAAGGTGGAAAGTGTTGTGATCTTAACTTTTATGTAGATGCCTATAATTGTAGACAGGCGGTAAAAGCAGAAAACTGGCTTCTGTCCTTACCAATTCCCTCCCAGTTCCCAAATTGTGTTATCTGCAGGGGATCTAAGTGTTTGGAGTGGAGTAGGCAGAATGAGTGCATTCCCTTAGGTAAACCCCAAGTTCCGCTCTAGGGGATATGGGGTGGGGAGTTGCTAAATGCCACCCTAATGTCACAGGGAGGCAGGGGAGACTATTCACTTAAAATGCTCACTCTTGCAGAGTACTGTACTGGTGTCTGGTTTCTTGAGGCATTGTTATGAAGACAATCTGGGGATGAGAAATGTCTTTTGGTCATCTTCTGCACCAGCATACCCTTTTCATTAGCATGATAATTCAGTTCTTAGGCCTGTTCTGAGTACCATTAGGGGCTGGTACCTTCAAGCCATATATAGGCTTTTACATGTTTCTCTTAGCTTTCAGTGCTGAATTTGAATGAGACAGAACTTCCCAGCCCTCAAGATGTTAGAAATATGGTTGTAATCTGGATCCCAGAACAACCAGAGAGGCATGTGAGGTGAGTATTGTGTCCAAAACTTGGGAGCCTTCCGCCCTTACGTTCTGCAAGTCCCTCCTGCCCTGCGCAGGCCTCCTATTTGTGATCTCCTTTTTAGCCACCTCATTGCAAGTAACAGGAGGCCAACTAGAGAAGGTCACGGTCTCTTGTATTTGCTTCCTGCTCCACTGGGGTTCTATTTAATGCACTTTGTGTTTCCTGCGTCGGGGCTTCTCCACATCAAATCCTACATGGCATTAAATAACAGGCAAGATAGGGCCTGTGGATTTGTGAGGGCTAAGAAACAGACGCTTCCTGACGATCAGCTTTTCTTTTTCTTCTTTTTTAAAGATTTTATTTATGTATTTGAGAGAGAGAGAGCGAGAGAGAGCACAAGCAGCAGGGAGGAAACACAGCTGTGGGGAAGGACACAGGGAGAGGGAGAAGCAGACTCCCTGCTGAGCAGGGAGCCCTGTGCGTGCCGTGCCGGGCTTGATCCCAGGACCCTGAGATCATGACCTGAGCTGAAGGCAGGTACTTAACAGACTGAGCCACCCAGTGCCCCCATCAGTTTTTCTTATTAGCCATCCCCAGCCAGTGAAAACATTTTGAGTGAAGCGCGTGAATCTTTGGTCTCAGCCCCAAGGCCTAGCACAGTGGCGCAAGATGAATAGCCTGTAGGGCTTGTGTATAAAGCAGAAGGATCACTGGGTAAGGACCCAAAGGCTGGATAATACTGATAACCACTGGAAGAAGGTGTTTGGTTTTTCTTTCATGAATGCTAAGGCTTTCAGAGTCTTGTTACGTGACTATGCAGATAGGATGTGATTTAAGAATTTCTTCTTACTTGATTTTTTAATCAAGTAAGTGCTTATGCGTGCGTGCGTGTGTGTGTGTGTGTGTGTGATATAAACAAAAAACTCCTAGAGGTTTACTTCCTTTCATGTAAAAAAAAAAGCCCAGATATGGGTGGACCAGGGCTAGTACCTCAGTTTCACATGTTCATCAGAAACCAGAACTCCTTTGGGCTCTCTGGTCATCATCCTTAGCCCGTGGCTTTCATTTTCTAAGGTGTCTCATGGGGACTTTGAAGGTCTAAGTTGACGGCTAGAGCTCCAGCCATCATATACGTGTTCCAGGCAAGGAGGTGGAAGATGACAGAGCAAAAAATACTTGAGCACCTCCTCTGTGCTAAGCAGTGAGAATCTAGTGAAGAACCAAATAGACTTGCTCCCTGTCCTCCTAGAGTCTTGTGGTGGTGGGGGGTGGGGTGGGTTGGGATTCAGGCTTTACAAACATCACCATACCGAAGTATATAATTACTAATTTGGATTAATGCTATGAAAGCAAATAACTGGGTTGTAGGAGAGAATGGCAGGGAACCTAATGTAGATGTGAGGTTAGGTCTTGTTTCTCGCAGCTTCTGGGCAGTTGGTTCCTCCAGGCTTCCAAGCAGCCATCTTTGAGTACTGAAGAGAGGATAGAAATCTCCATGGTCATCATTCACAAATACCCTTGGTGCTTCTGTTTGAGATGTCTGGGAATAAATTGTGGTTGTTCTTATTTCAAGTCCAGCTGAGAAGAAGCATATTCTTCCCAGCCAGGACTGGATGAAGAAAAGAACGAAATCTACAGGGGTAAGTTTGATGTTTTGGTCAAACCTTTATGAGATTACTCTGGAGAATTTTGTTTTTCCTTTCAGTTACCTTCCCCCTTACCCCATTCTTTTTAAATGAATAAAACTTGCAAAAGAAACCCCTTTTAAGGAATAATTACCGAAGCATTTTCTATTGAGAGACTCCCTTCCCTGCCCCCTCCCTGTAGGAAGGTGAAGAGCATCTTGAAGAAAAGTTAGGAGGAAGCCTTGGATATTCAGGGGGAGTTTTTGACAAATTCCCAGTGTGATAGAAAGAGAACTTCAGTGGACTAGGGGTTATAATGGACTTGGGTTTCTCATCCTCATGCCCCCACTTAAATGGGTAAATGTAACCTTGGGTAAGTCACAGAGCTGGAAGGTTGCTACAACCGTGAGAGTAGTGTCTTGGTCCACTTTGTTCATTGCTGAACCCCCAGTGCGAGCCCTGCACCTGGCACATAGTTGGCCAATAAATATTTGTTCAGTTTTGCTCAGTGAATGAATTAATAACCTTTTTGGGGAAAAAAACAAAGCAACGAATTCCTGTATGATCTGAATTCAACAATGGGGTGGGGAGCCAGAGAGGGAAAATATGGTGGCCTTCATAGTGCAAAGGAGGGGTTGCTGCTGGAGTGGGTCTGGAAACAGGGAGTTTGGCATGCTAGGGTTATGTTTGGGAGGCTGGAATGTTGATGGGAAGGAGTGGCACTTTCCATTGTTGCTTTTCTAGAAAGACAGTTTTCGCTATGGAAAGCAGAAAACAGAAACACAGCTGGGACCTCCAGGGATGATTGTGCCTCCTCCCCCATCACCAGTACACTTTTTTGAGCAACTAAACGCAGAGTCCATACCTTTCTGGAACCAATTTGACACGTTACCTCGGGATCTACTGAAGGAGTAAGTATCATGTAAGCCTGTGGGAGAGCCAGAGTACCTGCTCTTCTCTGAAGCAGAGAAGGCACTAAGTAGCATGCTCTTCCTGAGTAAGGAGGGGAGAAAAACTGTCCCCTCTGCTTGTACAGTGAGTTCTTAGACTTACCAAGGTACAGTGATGATGGTAATGGCCACCATTTATCAAGTACTTACCACTTGCCAGGCCCTGCGCTATAGAAGCACATTACGTCTATTCTCTTGTGTTTTTTTTTTTCCAGATATGCAGTCATCTTTATTATAATTCATAAATGCACTATAAACAAACCTGGATCTCTAATAAGACACACTTAGGATCTGATAGGCTCCTGTTTTCCATTCAGTTATGTAGTTAGAAAACCCAGTTTACTTGAGAATGGTAGAAAAGGCCAAGTAGTGTCTTAGTTTCCTTAAGAGAAGTTTTCTCCTTATAGGCATTCTGGAATCTTTGGGCTTGTGAATCAAAAGACCAGACTGTTTTAATAGACATGCCCATGTTCAGTGCTGTCTGCATTCCTCACATTTCAATGGGCACCTGTCCTATAGAACATTCAACTTGTTCCCCAAATTTCGTATAAAGTGCAGTTTTAAAAAGGGGTCAAATGTGCCCAAGCTTCCAAGCTTCCAGGCTTATTTTATAAAAACAGAATTTATCATTCACTTTACCAACTCTCCCTGCCAAATAAAGGACCCCAAAGGATAAGTGTCAACCGCCAATGTTAGGTGAGGCTCCTCTTCTCTTCTCAAATCAATTTATTTGGAATCCTGAGCAATCACAGCCAACTTCAGTGGAGGGCTCAATCTCTCTCAAAAAGCCTATTCTCTTATTTGAACCTCTGCTAGGCACTATTACTCTCTTCTCCTTTTTCTTTTTAAAGTAAGCTCTATGCTCAACGAGGGGCTTGACCTCATGACTCTGACATCAAGAGTTCCATACTCCACTGACTGAGCCAGCCAGGTGCCTTCACTCTCTTCTTTTTATAAACGAGTTATGGATAAGTGGGAGGCAGAAGGGAAATGTGGTTTGGAGTGAGACAGCCTTTGGATTTTGCATTGAAACTTCCCAGTTTTGTGCATTTTGGTAATTTATCTAGCATCTTTACGCCTCGTTCCCTCGTTTGCAAAATGGGGATAAGAACGCCTGTCCTCAGCTAATTGAAAGCTGTTGCCCGATGAGCACCTGTTGGCATAGGCCTTTTTAGGCCCACAATGGAAATTTATTCAAATTTGGAGCCCTTACCCTCCCCTTTTCCTCAGCCACACTCTCCAAGAAGAACTGTTGCTGACTGGCTGTCTCTGTCCCCTCCAGCCTCTTACCTGATGAAGGGAAAACCATGCCTTCTCTGGAGATGAAGACACAATTGGCCATGATGAAGAGGAAAGCTCCCCTGGAAAAGAGCCGACCTGACAGTGCCATTTCCGCTAAGATGTTCTTATCCATACACCGTCTCACCCTGCAGGTGAGAGCTAGGGAGCCTCGGAGACAGAGGTCTAGATGCAAATCCAAACTCATTTCTTTTCAAGGCTGGAGGAGTTGATGTTCTCTTTCTTCTTTCTCTCTACCCTTCCACGCTGGACCCAAGCCTCACAGAAGGGCTGGGCTATATGTAGGTGAAAGCAAACGCACGGGGAGGGGTTTGAGGAACATTCTCTGTTTCTCCTGCCCTTTATTCCCCACTCCGGTTCCTCTCTCCAGAGCCCCTGCTACAACGCTGTGCGCACCCAGTTCTCAAACAGTGCTCGTTGGCTATGTGGGTACCTACCTGCATTTGAAGGATATGTCTTGGGAAAAGGAAACTCCTTCAGTAGAGCTTTTCCTCTTCTTTCTCTTTTCTTTCCTTTTTTTTTCCTCCAGAGACCAGCATTGAGATATCCTAAACATTTGAAGAAATTATATTACACCCCGAACATAGAAGGTAGGTTTTCTGGTGGATCGGGCCAGATCCTCAGGTACTGTCCCCCCCGTCAGCCCACAGTTCTTATACTTGGTCTGGGTCCCAGTTTGTTGTTTGTGGCCACAGTCATACAAGATCCCGTGTAGAACTCGGGAAACTGCTGTTTCAGGAGGCAGCCCCCCTCCCCCACCACAAATGGCTTGGTTCTGACAGAGCGGGTGTCACCGTTGTGGAGCAGGGCCCAGCAAGCAGCCCCCGGGGAAGGTGGGCACTGTCAGGGAGAAGAGGATTGAGCCAGTGCTCTGGTCACCAGGTCACAAGAAGCAGCAGCAGAGGAAGGTGAAAACCCCACCGAAGAGACAGGTAGCGTGGCCGTGAGGGAAGCTGGAGGACTGGCTGGGACTGGGCCACGGGGTGCAGCCTGGAATGGGAAGGGGTGGATGAGGCGCAAGTCTCCCTGTTCTCCGTTTGGTTCTAGATACAGAGTTCCTGTCTGCTTGCAGATACTAACTTCCTTCTTTTAGACTCTTTTTGAAACGTTTTCTTCACTTCCAAAGGTCCTAATTCAGTTCCTCCTCATGTGGGTTTCAGGAGGCTAAAAAGAAATCCAAGAGTGATCCGGGGAGCCAGGACATTTTGCATAAATGTTCGGGTGCCATGGTGTGTGGCCCACGCTATGGTAAGGAGAATATGGGTTTGGGAGGGATGGGAACTCAGGATGTAGCTGAGGACGGGAAAAGCCGGACAAATCCGTCATTTGGGGACCTGCCTTCATTAGGCATTCACAGTTCTCCCTGGAATGTTCTGGCTTGGCTGGGCTGACATGCATTGTCTTTCCATCAAATCTTTACTAAGGAAGCAAGCTGGGCCAGATGTCTGCTTCATGTGGGTGTTCGAGAGATGACCACGAGCATGAGTCAGAGTCATTTTTCCTCAGGTCTTACTTTAGGAAAGACGGAGTGGTTTGAGAATGAAGAGCAAGCAATGAGGCAGCAAAGAGCCAGGGCCCCTGTCTAGCCCCGAGAGGGTTCTAAGGAAGCAGAGTCCAGGGTCTCTCGCTTCCCAGCCACAAGTTAGTCCCTGGAGGCTCAGGTTGAAATCAGCACATTATCTAGACCCCCCCTAGGAGGCAGGTGGCCAATTCTTGACAGGCAATTCTTGTCCTTTGGTGTTCATGCTGAAGATCAGAATAGGTAGCTCCCCTTTTTGGAATCCTAATCATGCGCCTGAGCTGAAGGATATTCTTACCCTGGTCCCTCTGATGTTGCTCAGTTTGAGTGCAGAAAAAGAGAAAGAAAGAAAGGGAGGGAGAAAGAATCCTCCTAAACCTTAGGAGCTTCTTCGGCCCTACTCAGAGTGGACCTTGTTGACTGCTTCCTCATCAGAATTTGCTCTCCCCCTCGTAGGGCAGTGGGAGGGCTCAGGTGAGATGTTTCCTCAGAAGAATGCTCCTCTCTCGGTTTATTTCACATCCCACTGAGCTCTCAGATGCCAACAGTGGCCCCTGACCTGCAGATCTAAGAAGCTTCCTGGCCTTCACATGGGAGGTAGACAAAACCAGGGCTGTAGCCCAGGGTGAGGCTGACAGGTCCAAGGTTAGCACTCCATCCAGGGTGATCAGCACTCCCCTGAATTCATTCAGGTGCTTTTCATTCCTCTTCCTGATGTCTCCGATAGGAGCAGATTTGCTTGGGTGACTGGGGTGCCTTTTTGAATTATATTCTTGGAGCAGTAGCCTGTCCTCACTGGGTTGAGAAAGGCCTTATGAAGAGTTGATTTTTGCATTGGATCTTGAATGTGTGAGAGTCTTCCTGATACGGAAGAGAATTCCAGAAGTGGGAATAGTCTGTTCAGGTGCACCTAGGAGGAGCATGGCTGCGCAGGGAACACGGTGGTCCATCGTGGCTGTGGGTTATGAAAGAGACAGTCGTGAAAGGTCAGGCTGATGAGGTAGGCAGGAGCTTGTTTGACCATGGTCATGGTGCTCCACCCCCTGACCGCACACCGAAATCAACTGAGGAGCTTTTCTTTTTTTTCTGAGAAAGCACGCATGTGTGCACGCGCGTGCACACGAGAGAGAGAGAGAGAGAGAGCGTGAGCAGGGGCCAGAGGGAAAGGGAGAGAGAGAATCATAAGCAGGTTCCACACCTCCAGCGCAGAGCCCAGTGTGGGGCTCAACCTCATGAGCCTGAGATCATGACCCTGAAATCATGACCTGACCTGAAGTCGAGTCAGATACTTAACTGACTGAGCCATCCAAGTGCCCCAACTGAGGAGCTTTTAAAACCCAGATACCCAGGACGTACCCCATACCTATTCAATCAGAAGTTCTGGTGTTGGGACCCAGGCCTCAGTGTTTTCCAGAACTCCTAGTACTTCAAGTGTGCAGCTAAGGTAAGAACCAGTGCTGGTAGGGAGCCAACAGACATGTTCAGCAAGGGAGTTCCTCGATTGGCTTTGCCTTTTCGCATAACAGCTCGGGTGGCAGCTTGGAAGATGTTCTCTTCTTTTTTTTTTTTTTTTTTTAAGATTGATTGATTTGACACAGAGAGAGAGCAAGCAGGGAGAGTGGCAAGCAGAGGGAGAGGGAGAAGCAGACTTCCCACAGAGCAGGGAGCCTGATGTAGGGCTCGATCCCAGGACCCTGGATCATGACCTGAGCTGAAGGCAGACCCTTAACCGACTGAACCACCCAGGTGCCCTGGAAGATGTTCATTTAGAGAAAGGGAATTGAGGAAGGACAGGATGAATGCATTTAAGGACTAGTTGGGGAAACAGCCGATGTAGGAGAATCAGAGAACTAGAGCTTTTGGAAGGAAGGAGTTTCATTTTCAGAAGCCAGTATGGGGACATTAGGGTTGGTGCAAGAAGGTCGGAGGAGTCTTCATTAATGGAAAACATAGGGTCAGGGTTTCTTTTGCTGCTATGATGTGCAGATACCTGCCCCTTGGGTTTCTTGGAGGAACCCTAAGTCTTTTTTGTTTTTCCCTAAGTCTTTTAACATACGCTTGACCTTAATCTCAAATTCTGTGATAGATGTGGTCCCAGTCCTAGGTGAACAGAGCCACAAAGAGAACTCAGAGGCCCAACTCCCTTTTGTCCAAGATGAGGAGTCACTTGTAGGCTAGGGGTCAACTAGAAGCCCAACAGTGGGCTATGAAATACCAGCAAGAAGAGAATTGAATTGACTTTGTGGTCACTAGGTCACAGAACTCTACTAAGTCAGAAAACTGACAAAAAGCATCCACAGTGGACAAAGTCAGAAGGACCCAACTTGGAAAAGGTAAGAGCACCAGAACCATTCTGCTAGGGCCCTGTTTCTGTTACCTGTTACTGTTTAACACACCACCTCAAAGCTGAAACCAACAGTGGTTGGCCATTCCTCAGGACAGTTTTTCTGGTGTTGCTTGATGTCACTCATGCACCTGCCTTCAGCTGGCGGCTGGGGTGGGGCTGTTAGCCAAATCGTCTTAGTTCTCTTCCATGAGTTCTCTTCATTGTGCCTCGTTTGGGCTTCTTGATAGTATGGTAATCTCGTGGAAGCACTTCCTTGAGAGATGGGGCCGGAACTGGAACAATGTCACTTCTGCCACATTTCATTGGTCAAAAAACCACAAGTCCCGGGGCGCCTGGTTGGCTCAGTCATTAAGTGTCTGCCTTCGGCTCAGGTCATGATCCCAGGGTCCTGGGATCAACCCTGCATCGGGCTCCCTGCTCCGCGGGAAGCCTGCTTCTCCCTCTCCCACTCCCCCTGCTTGTGTTCCCTCTCTCGCTGTGTCTCTCTGTCAAATAAATAAATAAAATCTTTAAAAAAAAAAAAAAAGAAAAAAATCTTTTCTTTCTTAAAGTCTTGATTCAAGTTTCCTTACACTTACTCTAATGAATTTCAGGATTCCACAAGGAGGCCACAGATGGAATACTCTGAGAATTATCTGGATTCCTTTCCTGATAAGGGTGGTAAGTTACTAGGGTGGAGGGACCTTAGTAAGTCACTCAGGCCAGGGAGAGCTGAACCTGTGTTGAGAAGGATGGTTCACCTCCCTGGAGGCCATAGTCCTCATCCCTCAGAAGGGTCTTAAAGACACCCAGCCCTTCCTTGTCTGTCCTCCATTTGTCACAGTTGGGAGAGGGCTGCAGGTGCAGTTAATGGCTGGGTCTTCTTTTAGATCCTGAGTTATCCAAGATAGAACCCTCTAACAAGGACATCAGCACTCAGGAAGAGGTTGTGCCGGAATCCCAAGAGAGGAGCTCAGAGGACCTCTCAGACGATACATCTAGAAGAGGGTGGAACCCGGAGCTCAAACTCCTGAGGATTCTTCAGGCCACTGATGATGAGGATGAGGAGAACCAGCTCTCTGGGTCACAGAGTGAAGAGTCTTACGGGATTTCACAGGACAGCCTTACTCCAGAGCAGGATGCTTGGAATCCCAAGGACAGTGACCTTGGACATAACGACAGAAAGGAGAGGGGACTTCTGCTCCCGGGAGCCTTTACCCGGGCCTGACTGTAGGAATTCTGCTTTCTTCATTCACTTCTCCTTACCTCTAAAATCAGTGAGGGAGAAAAAGCCTCCCCCTTCTTAAACTGAGATTGTTTCTCTTTCATTAGGGACAGAATAATTTTAGTGATTAAACACAACTGCTTAAGGAAAAGACTCATTCTGTTTCTGGGAGGAGGGGAGAGATGTTTCTGCGATGTGTTTTCTGGGTCACTTTTATCTCCCCTCTGAAGCTCTGAAAGGTTTCCAGTTACAGGAAGATGAGTTTTGGGGCACCCGGCTAGCTCATTTGGTAGAGTGTGCAATTCTTGATCTTGAGGTTGTGAGTTTGAGCCTCACATTGGGCATAGAGATTACCGAAAAAAAAAAAGCGGGGGGGGGAAGATGAGTTTGGCCTGTGGGAACCCCTACTGTGTTCCTAGCTTTTCCTCTCATTCTCTGGAAATGTTTTTTTTTGGGGGGTTGGCACCCAGTAATCACTTTCAAATAGTATATGTATTAACCTGAAAGAATCTAAAGCTCCAGCTTCTAAATTACTGTGTCTGTGGAATGTTTCAGTGATGCTCATAAAGACTCCGAATTTCAGAGTCTCAGGGGACCTTGAATTTGGTTTTTGGAAGGATTTTTTCCCCCGTGTTTTTGTCCTTAAAGTTTTTAATATAGAAAATTTTCAAAATTACCTGAAAGTCAGAATAATATAGTGGAAATCTCATGTACCCAGTAGCTTAGAGGCGGGCAATGAAGGCCCCTGCCCTGGGCCCCTGGTCCAGGAGCTGCTGTGAAAGCAGCTCGAGCCCATTATTCTCACCAGCTCTGCACCCAGGGTCAGGTCTCCTTCCCATAAGCGGGAGCTGGGTGGAAGAAGAGAGCCCTGACCATTGGTGGTACTCACTAGCACTTAGCCTCAGGCGCCAGCAGCTGGGGGAGGATGAGAAATGATGACATCCTGTCCTTCCTGAGGAGACCAGCCCTCTGCCTTGGAGCTGGGAGGGGGAGCCCTGTGTTCCTGGGCAGTAGCAGTCCGGAGTAGTTTCTGTCTCACTGAAACCGGGGTGGGGACGGGGAGAGCCTGGCTCTAGGGTCACATAGCACAGACTCAGTTCCTACCAAGCTTTTGTAGATTTTCTTAAACAATTTGCTGTATGCTCTTAGGGCCATTTTCAGAGACATAAACAGATTTTTAAAAACAATTTTCACCAGGGGCACCTGGGTGGCTCAGATGGTTGGGCGTCTGCCTTCGGCTCAGGTCATGATCCCAGGGTCCTGGGATCGAGCCCCGCATCGGGCTCCCTGCTCCGCGGGAAGCCTGCCTCTCCCTCTCCCTCTACTGCTCCCTCTGCTTGTGCTCTCTCGCTCTCTATGAAATGGATAAGTAAAATCTTTAAAAAATAATAATAATTTTCACCAGTTTCATTGGACAGCAGTCTGCGAACGTCTTACACTCTTATGCCGGAAGTGAAACTCAGGACTGGGCCTGACATCTTTTTTTTTTTTTTTTAAGATTTATCTATTCATTAGAGAGAGAGCACACAAGCGGGGTGAGGGGCAGGAGGAGAGGGAGAGAATCCCAAGCTGACTCCTTGCTGAGCTCGGAGCACGGGGCTCCATCTTTGTGAGATCATGACCCGAGCCAAAATCAAGGGTCAGCTGCTCAACCGACTGAGCCACCCAGGTGCCCCCCTGACATCTTTTTATAAGAGAAACTTAGCTCTCATCAATTATTTGGTTCTGCTAAGTACAGTTTGTACAAGGAAGGCAGATTAAATCTTAAATCTTTTTTAACGTTGTCTCAAAACAGACCAAATTAGAAAGCTAAAACTGCTGCCTACTTGTTCCTTTCTCCCAAGCCAAATCAAAATTATATATGACATCATTTGTGTTACTAGACTGAACTATACTTAGCTGAATCTTGAGAGAGGAATCCGAGAGGTGTCATGTGGGCTGTTTTTCTGCAAATAATTATGTCTCGAATGTACATTACATTGTAGAATGATTTGTGTGGGTTAACTTAAAAATGACACCTTTTTTCAACTCCTTGGTCTTGCCTCAGACCTTTCCACTAAGGCAAACCCAATTTCCAGTGGTCGGTAGTGAGGCTGAGGAGGGGGCAGGGCTGAGCTTTCATTTGCTCATCTTATCTGAAGACTCAAAGAGAAATTCTAACTATTACTGATACAACTATGTACTTAGTTAAGCAACTGTCAGAAATTGGCACATTCTTTTCAGTTTCATTGATGAGTACAAAGTCACTTTTGATTCAGAACATATTTTGAATGAGAAGATGTTTGCTATTTGAACACTGGCCTTCGCAAGTGCTTTGGCTAAGATCAAGTGTGAACACTGGCCTTCGCTTCTGTTTTCGAAGGGAGGAAAACCATTTGTGGGCTGAAACCTGTTTCTCCTTTGTTATACCAATCCCTCAAATTGCAAACAGAATTTAGGGCAATATAATCTGCATGCCCCATTACAGTCTCCAAGGCAGTTTATACCCACTATTTCGGTTGGTTCTCTAGCCAACTCTATAGATAAGTGTGGATTGTCTCCATTTTATAGATTAGAAGACTGAGGCTCAGAATTCAGGGCTGATGATAACTCATTCGGGGCCTTAGTGAATTAGAAAAAAAAAGGCATCCTTTAAGACACTTTACTACCTATTGAAAAGTCTCTCAAAACAAATCTACAATGATTACCATATGAGCGGCACCCCTAGGGTTGGTCCACAACTTTCACCATAGGACCTGGAGGGCTTACTGGAGAGGTGAAGTCATTTGCCAGAAATCTAAGGCCAGCAGGGGAAGGGCTTAGAACCTGGCTCCTTGCTCCTCTCATCCACTGAACTCTGATGCCTCTCTGATTCCCTCTCTTTAAAGCATGGCGGAGCCTGGGACAGTCTTCACTTGAAAGGAAGGATGAGACCACATAGAAAAGAACTGGCTGAGGGGAAGGAGCCCTCATGAACACTTTGCATTAGCCTCCCAATGTTCTGAGAGAAGAGGAGCCAGGTAACTGTTGCTAACTGCCATTTCCTCACCATCTGCGCCATGGGCCTCAGGAGAACTAAGGCCCAACAGCCAGGAGGCTCTAGCTAGAGTTGCTGGGAGATCCGCTTTACACATTTACGCAGACAAGAGGTCTTAAGACTCAGCTAGTTGGAAGATTGTCCTGGATCCTTATAAAAGGCTCTGGCTTCTTTTCTTCTTTTCTATCATTCTTTGTGATCCTTACTAGTGGTAGGCCACTGTGTTTGGGTCACCATGTTTTCTGAGCACACTTCCCCATGACACCTGGCTTGGTTTGACTTCTGTGTGAAAGCAAAGTAAGTGGAAGAGTCTGTGTCCACCAGTCTCCTCCCTGCGGGGCCAGCGATTCCTTTGTTTAGGTATTGGTCCTGACATCTGGGCTAACAGACTCTGTTCTTCATTGTTTCCGGGTTACAGTAAACTCCCTTTGATGGGATGGAGTCAGGGTTTCAGCCAGGGTAGGAGTGACCCTTAAAAAAATCCATTTTGGGGCACCTGGGTGGCTCAGTCGTTAAGCGTCTGAATTCGGCTCAGGTCATGATCCCAGGGTCCTGGGATGGAGCCCTGCATCGGGCTCCCTGCTCAGCGGGAAGCCTGCTTCTCCCTCTCCCACTCCCCCTGCTGTGTTCCCTCTCTCGCTGTGTCTGTCAAATAAATAAATAAAATCTTTAAAAAAAATCCATTTATTAAAATGTGCTTAAAGGAATTGTTTGCTAAATTAAAGACAGGAATACCTCTGGCTGTTGGATAAGAATGATTAGAGGCCCTTGGGAATCCAGGGCAATCTGGGGAAGACTTTCTAAATTGTCTCTTTCAGTTGCCAGAAGGTACCAGGGTATGAAATTATTTTGTCCTTCTGTTTATATTTATTTATTTAACAAATACTGAATACCTATTACGTGTTAGACAATCGACCCCTAGATTATCTTTACAGAGAAACACAAATTTCTGGGGAGATGAAGAGTCATTCCCCGGAAGACAGAAATTTTTCTGGATCACTTGGTGATGTTGTTTGGGACCACTAGGTGGTGATAGTACATTGTGAAAATGATCCTCTTCCAAAACTGGAGGCCTCTGGTTCTTATTCTGGGGCCAGGGCCTATGGGCCAAAGAGATTTCCTTATTGAGTACGTGGAGAAAAAACCCCACGTTTCACCAACGAGATATATGATCCAATTTAAATGCTCTGATGAATGAATTAGTTTTTTTTTTTAAGATTTTATTTATTTGACAGAGAGAGACACAGCAAGAGAGGGAACACAAGCAAGGGGAGTGGGAGAGGGAGAAGCAGGCTTCCCGCAGAGCAGGGAGCCCGATGCGGGGCTCGATCCCAGGACCCTGGGATCATGACCTGAACGGAAGCCAGACGCTTAACGACTGAGCCACCCAGACGCCCCTGAATTAGTTTTTGAACAATTTAGAATGTCATTGGAAGAACTACTTCAAGAGTGTGACAAATTCTGGAACATGCCCAGGGGCCTAGGATTTGGAGAAATCGGGAGCTATTGATGATCCTGACAGTCATCAGTTGGGCATATACAGGGAGGCAACATTTGATGGGTAGAAATATCAAAAATTATCTGAGGGTCTTATCCTGTTTTGCATCTCCTAAATTTATCTTGATCAGATTTTTTTTAAAGATTTTATTTATTTATTTGAGAGAGAGAGAGAGAATGAGAGATAGAGAGCACGAGAGGGAAGAGGGTCAGAGGGAGAAGCAGACTCCCTGCCGAGCAGGGAGCCCGATGTGGGACTCGATCCTGGGACTCCAGGATCATGACCTGAGCCGAAGGCAGTCGCTTAACCAACTGAGCCACCCAGGTGCCCTATCTTGATCAGATTTTGCCTGTTTAAAAATTCAGGGAAGGTCGGGTGCCTGGGTAGCTCAGATGATTAAGCGTCTGCCTTCGGCTCAGGTCATGATCCCAGGGTCCTGGGATCGAGTCCCGCATTGGGCTCCCTGCTCCTTGGGAGCCTGCTTCTCCCTCTGCCTCTCTCTCTCTCCCTCTCTCTCTCTGTCTCTCATGAATAAATAAATAAAATTTTTAAAAACACATAAATTAATTAAAAAAATTCAGGGAAGGTGAAACCAATAAGTTCAGTTTGTTTGTTTGTTTTTG